AGACAGACAGACAGACAGACAGACAGACAGACAGACAGACAGACAGACAGACAGACAGACAGACAGACAGACAGACAGACAGACAGACAGATATAGCTAGATAGCAGCCAACAAAAAGATGGGGGGGGGGAGGGGTTAGGGAGGACCACTTTCAAGATGAGTTACAAAACGTCGACATCAAAGATGTATATATTGTACTTGTAACATTTGAAGAGACTCATGATGATGCCCAGAACGAACAACATCATTCAACTCTTTCTCTTTTCTTGTACTCGTCGCAACTGGTATTTTTTTCTGTCTCACTTTGGCCTATTCTATTGTTTTCTGTTTTTGGTAAGTGTTTTACAGCGCTCGCAACTGCATAAGGTCATATGAGCGCGCGGGACACATTAAACTTTTTCAGTTGGTAGGAATCTTTGAATTTTGCCCGGGTGGCGGCCGAAGCCTACTCTTATCGATTTTATACCACCAAGGAATCTTTAACGTGCGCAACTTGCACATGGGCCCTCCGAGATTTTTCGCCCTTGTCCGAGAAGGCTAGTGAGAGAGAGAGAGGGGGGAGAGAGTAAGAGAGGGGGGGGGGGTGAAGGAGGAGAGAGAAAGACGGTCAAATTTTTTGTCTGTTTCCTTTCCATTGAAGTTGCACCTTATGATTCCCTTTTGATGACGGTGTTGTGAGAGCGGCGGGCTTCCAGCCTGGGCCCTGGTCTCCGGTACGTCTGAACGCCCACAGAGCTGCACTGTCAGACGGTGCCGGGTCCGCTCGTATGTAGTTCACTGCCAGCATGTTGTCACTGGGATGAAAAAGGAGGTCTAAAACGTGTGTCATTTATTTTTACTGAGATGATATAAAAGAAGTCTGAAGCTTATATGGCATTTCGCTACCCCAGAATTACAAAGTTCTATCTGAATAGTTGACGTCAAATGTTTTTAAATTTCACAATAGGTCAAGCTTTTTCGGATGTAATTCCAAAGATAGTACATAACAAGATGGTCCACTCAGCCAAAAAAGTGTCCACCGGAAGTCTGCTCTTTGCTTCAGATGGTGCTGCAGTCTGTTTTGAAGCTCTCTTTCGTTTTTCTCGAAGAAGAATAGGAATAGCACCTCTTTGAGTGCGCAGATCGACTGCTGTTCATCAGCATTCGGTGTTCGGGTTCGTTCAGTTTTAGGTTTTTTAAATTTTAATGACCTCTCGCCTTTCATTCTAAAGTCAAATTAAACAAAGAAAACAATCACCCCTTCCTCCGGAAAAGTTTTTTTGTCAGCGGAACCATTTTAAAAAAGCGTTCTTCCGAAATTTGTTCAAAAACTTGCTAGTTTCCCTTTGATTTTTTTAACACAAGTAGGGTAACTCTGTTCGCAAAGGGTGCGCATTTGCGAAGAGGGCGCCACCGAATTTTGAGGACACTTTTTGAATTGGCTCAAAGAGAGGAGTGGCCCCTCTTGTTATGTAGACTCTTTGGTAATTCTTAAAATATATTGATATCGATACCGAATATTCTTACGATTTTGATAGAGCAGATAGTGCATAATTATGCTTTCTGACCTCGTGGTTTTAGTAGCTTCAAACGGCCAAAAATGTTTGATAGAACTTTGTAATTCTGAGGTAGCGATTTGTTGGCACAGAGATGACGGTAGAAGTGTTAAAATTAAGTGGCATTTAGTTTTTATTTTCAGTAAAAGTTAAACGGCACTTGCAACACAACTAAGTCATGTAAGTACCGAAAATTAGAGGTGTTACAAGAGAGTAATGAACACAAAAAGGAGGGGGAGGGGGGAGATAAGAACGATAGATGTTTGATAGGAAAGAGAGAGCAAACCACACCAGAGCATCAGCCAGCCACCCACATATGCATTTAGACAGACAGACAGACAGACAGACAGACAGACAGACAGACAGACAGACAGACAGA